ATGTCCACCACTTGCTTCACAGCAGGCTGACAGCAAGCAAGGCGGCTTGCGCGTGAATTCGATTACAGTAAGAGTAGACTTGCGCTGCATCTACTGCACTCTCTCCCCCTCCCCTGATAGGGCCCGGTGCCTAGAAGACTGGAGGTGGGAGGTGGCTGGCGCGGCTGAAGCTGCCCCCACGCGTGCCGTCACTCCTGGTTAGGTTCCCAGCAGAGTGGGAGTGCCGTAAAGGCTATTGCAATCTGACTCTCAGTCCGCCAGTCAGTCACTCTGTACAGACACACACGGGACTGACTGCACGGTCAGAGTTATCGCGATATCAGTTGGCAACCTTCCAAGCCACGGCTTTTAGCGCACCGTGATAGCTTCAAGATCTTCAAATGGTTTATAGTGAGGAAAGTGCGCTAAGCCGTCGACCTCACACTCTATTCCCATTCCCGGGCTCATGCCACCGCCCGAGCTGACCAGATAACTGGAGCGGGGAATGGGCGTAGCTGCTGATATATCTAATGACCTCATCCACGCGTACTACTTATGCGACCTGCAGCCCTCCCCAACGCAAGCATCCAACACAAATTGGGTTGAACAGCTCACTTCTCGCATGAGTCAGAGTGCCAGAGGCAACATTAAGAAGGAGCCATTGCAGCCTGTCACTTATCTTTCCACACTTACCCTCATTCTTCACGGTACTTTTTGGTTTTAAGTCCACCAATATCTCTATATTTGAACTTTTCTACTCCGTCTTGTGGATTTTTTTTCCAGAGTTTACGAGACGCAAAATCAGGGCGCCTTGGAGGTCAAGCAGGAAGTTGAGAGACAGTTGGAGGAGCAGCAAAAGATTGAAGATCGCATGCCCTGCACCATTGTGATTGGTCCCTTCATGGTCAACGTAGAGCCGCTTCGTGCCAGACTGATGAAGAAGCGCAATGACATGGCCAAGGCTATGCTGGACCTGCTTGCCCGCCAGTTGAGAAAGGAGGCAGACAAGGTACTCATTTCTCCCCCTCTGAATTTTGTAGATTCGGGGTAACAGTCCATTATATGGATCACCACGGAAGGCAAACCCCCCAGAATTCGGTAATATCGCGCCGGTGATAGTAGGGGTTATACGGGTGGGCTAAGGGAAAAAAATAAAAAAAGTATAGAAAACAAAAACTTGAAGCAGCTATAAAAAGGCTAACATGCAGGCGAGAAAAAGTACGCAATAATTGCTAAATAAATTAAGATAAAATGTTCAATAAATTTAATGAAATAAATTAATGAAATAACAAATTTTAAGAAATAAATAACATTACTACTTCTGGGGTTTTGGGTTTTAGTGATGTTACTCATAATTAACTGTTACCAGATTCGTTCTGTACTAAACCATCTTCACTTGAAATATTTGAACCTATTATATCTTTGAGACAGATACTTATAGGTTATAACTTATAAATTTAATTTTTTACATATTGAGGAACGTTATATAAAAAATAGAAGAACACTACCTAAAATAGTAAAATCTAAACGCATTTTCTTCGTTTTGCCCTGCAGACCTGCGAGACCTTCCAGGGAATTGCCGCCAGGCTTTTTGAGAGACCCAATACCATTGAGGAATTGACAGAACTCAGGGAATACATTGACAATATTCCCGAAACCATGGAGGAACAGCAGGAAAACATTGACAAGTGTTTGGCAGACTACGATCTGATTGATGACTTCTACTATAACATCTCAAATGACGATTTCACTGCGAAGTAAGTTGATCAGACTAGGATAGCAATTTGGATTGTAATTACTTAACATTACCATCATACATGTCATCAGAACGTGCTAGTTAGATGTACGAGCTTGGACCCGAGCGTTCCATTCATGGCTATTGCAAGCGCCTCACCTGATGACCTCAATTAAATACATATTCAGGCTAACATAAGCGTGACTAGCCCTTGGATGGCTCATGTAGTATTGCAAAACTAGGCAGTTACCTACAGACAGAATCTCAACTCCTTTCGGAAGCCAGGAGACCCTTTACTTTGCAGGTCAGAAAACACTTTTTTCTGATCTGTCAAGTTTGTGGCAGTCCACTCGCTTCAATACCTATGGCAGATGAAGATGTACGACTTTGCCGTCTTTTAGTCTTCTGTGATGGAGTTTTTTTGGTTTTCGATCGCATATGAAGAAGGATTGTTTTTGTGGGTGTCTCAAAACGATAGCACAAAATTTATTTTGAGCCGGACTTTTGTCACTTGTCTCACAGACTACATGAAGTAGGCACAAATGCTGTTGAAAAAATCAACTTAGGTCATACGACAGTGAAATGGGAAAAGCGGAGGTGTTTTGTTTGATTGTTACCCACAAGGGGTGATATGTCAAATTGTATGTAGTATCTAGCATGCTATATACAATGATATCTTGGATTGAACTAAAAATGATCACACGTCATCTTCTATTTCTGTATTCATGGAAGTAGTAGTATTCGCTATGTCCATAATATAAGGTGGTTAGACTGCTGCTGGAAAGGTAGTCTTCGACTGGCACATTTACCAGAGCCATAGACCCGCATCCCGCCTATCAGGCGCTACGCACACGGCTAAAGCCAGTTCCAACAAGGCCAATGGGGCGGCAAAATAAACTCGCGCGTGCAAGACAACTGAGGCCAGAGGAAAATAAGACAAGAGCTGGCTAGGAACTACGTGTGCCAGCGTGGAACACCACTTCACCGCCGCGCTCACGAGATTAACATCAACAACTGATCAGTACGTCGGCTGACGAGGAGCAAGCCAGTAAGCAGGTTGAAGTGCCGACAATTACGACGGCCGGCAAATCTCACGCGAGCCCACTAGCGGTCAATATCGCGGTCAATCAGCAGCGAACAGGCAGGTCAAAGTTCGTGCCTGGAGCACGGATATAATACCAGGCAGTCGGCAAGGCTGAAACAGTCCCGGCAAGCAGGAAGAACCACCACATCACTCTGATGATGGAATCGAGCATATTCCCGAAACGTCAGTCTAAATACACCTCGGTTTATGAACTCGTACCGTCTTTTTCTTCTTTTTTGGGGGATGATGAAAATGATAAGATACCTGGACGTCAAATCTTTGCGTATATATACGAAGAAATATCAACAAACATAATGGGAAAGTCGATTTGGCAGACATATGTTTTCAGCAACTCTGCATCAGGCCAGTACATTTGCAGGGATAATGATAGTTGGATGGGGTAAATAAGTGTATTTTGATTACAACTCATCGTTTTCACGCCGTCTGCATGGCCAGATCGATGTGTAGAGGTCCTTTTGCTCAGGGAAGGGGGGGGGAGGAAATTGGGTTGGGTTGTGGGCATTGGACATTGGGCAGGGGTCTGGTACATGGAGTGATAATCACTGTCATTTGCACTGAGGAAATGACTGTCACTAGGGCGTGAGGGCAATGTGCGATCTGTCAACCTGTTCAGGAGAATGTACTTGTTACAGAGACGGGAGGAACCGCCATGAAGTCGCGGGCTAAGACGGTAAGAACACGTGACCACGAGCGCCGCAACAGGCCAAGACGGTTGGGAAGTCCACGCGGGCGACCAGATAGCCAATCAGCGTGTGCTGTTGCATCGAGTACGCGTG